AGCTTTCCAGGAGAAGTTGGCAGATAGCACCTGATGGGGGCTCACAGGGGCGTCACCCTCAATAGAACAAATCCCTAATCTCAATCACCTGCTTGGACTCAACAGGAGGGACGAGAGGGGCTCAGCGTGGCCTACCAGGGGAGCACCCACTGTGACTGGCGACATCACGAGCAGCTGGGGGGGAGTTTACAGAAGAACTGGTCTGCAGACTTCAAAGCTGTCAAGGTCATCGCTGTTCTTCGTCCTCAGAGGGATCATCTCTAATGGTGCCGGAAGCACGACACAGACCATTGGCTAAAACAAGGGTGGTGTGGCCGGCAGCAATGATGGGGGGCAGGGCTGGCTTCCCTCTAGCTGGTCTGCACCACTGCTGGGAGAACGGCCGTGGTCTGCACCTGGCTTGCCCAGTTGTGTAGCCTGCTTTCAGCCACGTCCCTCAGCAAATCCGTACACTGGTGTCTCTGAGACGGCGGGACCTCTGGAGGGGAAGGGGTCTGTTGGCAGCGTAAGAGCTAATCCTGACTAGAAGGAGTTAAAACTCTACTAGAGAAATTCCAGCTGCAAGGATAGGGGCAGAGAAAGAGGAAAACCGGATTAAAACAACAAAAGGCACAGGTGACAGCAGGGGCTTGGCAGAGAGGGAGCTGAGCCGAGTGCTTGGAAGTCAAAAGGCGAAAAAGCTGAGCTAGCTGTTCCTCCCCACCGCTCGGAGAACGTAGGGGAGATGGAAGGGGAAGAGGGTAAACTTTGGGGAAATCTCTGTACATCAAGTTCTGGGTAGAGGGTGGAGTCCCTGACACCCTATAAGAAAGGCCAGAGACAAAGACCCATGGGCCCCCCATCTTTCTGAAGCTCCCTGCCCTCTCTTCAGAGCCGCTTTCTATCTTTTTCCTTCCCCCCTTACAAATAAACAGTCTTCCTTTCTAAACTCCGCTCCTTTAATTTGTTACTGGTACTGAGTTTATGATCCCAGTTAGCTGCTCATCTCAGCAGAGCAGTGTTGCTTGTACCCAGACATTTTTCTCTGTCTGTGTGTGTGTGATGCTAGGGATTGAACCCAGGGCTTTCACAATAAATTATATCCCAGTCCTTTATTTATTTATTTAGTTAGTTATTTTCGGCACTGGGGATCAAATTCAGGACCCTGCACTTGCCAGGAGTCTCTCCTATTTTGAAACACGATATCGCTAAGTCACTAAATTACCTAGGCTGGGCTTGAACTTGGGATCTTCCTGCCTCAGCCTCCTAGAACCCTGGAGTTATAGCACCTGTCTGGCTAACCATGTGCCACCATACTTAGTGTCATGGCTTGTATCTAGGTGCCCCCCCACCAAAGCCTCACACTCTCACAGATGGGGCTTTTCAGAGCTGGCTGGATCTAGGGTGTGAGATATTGGGATTAAGGTATGGTAAAAAATTAGTCCAGCAATTGGAATTAGCATAGTTCTGAGTGTGGCTGAGTGGATTTCCTGAAGACAGAAGCCCCACACTGAGCGTGGTGGCACCACCAAAAGGCTTGTAGCCTGGGTGGGATGAAGGGAAAGGCAAGCCCTCTGCCACTTCCTGCTTGCTTTGCCATGGACCGTTCCTCCTCTGTGATGCTCCTCTGCCAGGCCACCCTGCCTTGGAGCCAGCGGACTATGGACTGAAACCTCGCCAAACTGTGAGCTGAAATAAACCTTTTCTCCTTTGACTTATGGGTGCTGGGTATGTTGCCTCAATAAGAAGAAAAGTAACTAAGACACCTGGATAACCTCCATCCATCTTGATGGCTTGGGATACAGAGATGGAGGAGGTAAAGTGAGGACGCAGAGATGTCACCCTGGCTCCCCACCTGTGTCTCCTCCCCCCGCCGTGCCACACCCTTTGTCTTATGAGGGACTTACACCAGCGCAATTTTGCTCCTTCCAGTGACAAAAGCTTGTGGAACTGTGGGTGCCATGGTGGTTGAGCCTAAGGAGTTCAGCCTAAGAGAAGCAGACAACCAAAAGCACCATGACCACCATGACTGAGATCTGGGTCCTCTTGCTCTACAGGATGTTGTTGGGGAAAACTGGTCAAATGTGAAGTGTGAGGATTAAATGGTAGTCATGTATCAAGACTCATTCTTAGGTCTTGATGTTTTGCATTGTGGTTGTGGAGGAGAAAACCCTTGTTTGGAGGAAATAAGCATCAAAACATTTAGAAGAGCTGTCAGTTTTCTTCCGAAGGTTCTACTAGGAAGTTCTTTGACTTGCATTAACACTCCCCTGTCCTGTTCCCCAAATGATGAGTCTTCACCAAGCTCACTCTTATTACTATTTTTTAAAGCTCACTGTTGTTAACAAATGCTGCAAGGAAGCTTCTCTTTCTTTTTTTCAGACAGGGTCTTGATAAAGTGCTCAGAGTGGGCTCAAATTTGCTATCCTCCTGCCTCAGCCTTCCAGAGTGCTGGATGACAGATGAGAGCCACCACACCTGGCTCCCATCCCCTTCTGAGTTTATTTTAGAAACACTGTCCAAATTACTGCTGTCCCTTTACTCAGTAACCCAAGGAGACCCATGAAATTTCTTCCAGGCTCGTTCCTAAGAAGAACTTTACTTTCCCTGAGATGCTGGAGTTCTTTCCCTTAGAAGACAGGGACAACGAGGTCACTAATAGGGTTTCCATTCCTGTTGCCCAGATGCTGAGAGCCAAGTTGAAAATCCCCACAGAGCCGGGCCTAGTGATGTGTGCCTGTGATCCCCGCACTTGGGAGGCTGAGGCAAGATGATCACTGTGAGTTCAAGGTCAGCCTGAATTACAGAGTGAGACGTTGTCTCAGAACAACAACAACCCAAACCAAACCAAAACAACAATTAAAAAAAAAGAAAGAAAGAAAAAAGAAAGCCTCTACAGGTACTGTCTGGCTCAAACTGCACAGGCTTTTCTCTCTTCTCTTCCAGTTCACCATTCTTCACTTCCAACCCACATTGTATGTCCCCGGTCTCCTGGTCTCTGGCCTATTCTTTCTCTTTTATGTCCACCATTGGTTTGAGGGGTGGGCCCTGGAGATTGAACCTAGGGCCCTTGCCCTGAGCCTTTTTATTTTTTATGTTGAGATAAGAATCTCACTAAATTGCCCAGGCTGGCATAGGGTGCTCCTTCTTCAGCCTCCTGGAGTGCTGAGATGACAGGTGTGCACCACCGCACCCTGTTTGGCTGAGCTGGCTCAGAAGGCCGTGGCTGGAAGCCGGCTGGTTTTCTACGCCCGCCCCAGCTATTTCCCGTTCTCTGCAGCGTGTTTGGTCCTCACCTCCTCTCCATGGCGGCGATGGTTTCCACCAGAGGCAGGTTGCGCGTCTCCGTCAGGAAGCAGAGGACCGCCAGTCCGGCCAGAACTGAGGTGGCACCAAAGCCCACAGACGGCAGGATGGGGCTGAGCTCCCCGAGCGTGGTGACCAGGGGCGCCGCCAGGCCCCCAAGGCGGGCATGGACAGAAGCGAAGCCCATGCCCATCTGCCTGTGGGAGGGGCTGGTCAGCAGCCGGGCTGGACACAGGGGGCGGGGCTGGTCCCCACGAGGGCGCCCGCCCGCGCCCACCTGATCTCCGTGGGGTACAGCTCTCCCGTGAACAGGTACAAGCAGATGAAGGAGCTGGCCAGGCAGCCTTTCCCCAGAGCCGCCTGGGCCGTGCGCAGGGCCGGCAGATCTACACGGATGGAGGGAGACAGAGCTGTGAGGGAGCAGGACTGGCGGAGGGTGGGGTGGGGCTTAGGGGGCTGCGGGAGGAGGAGGCACAGGGTGCCGCTCAGGGACTATAGGGAGAGGAGGGAGGTACAGACGAGGCGCCAGGGCAGGATTGCCTGGCACTCCAGGAAAAACCCCCTGATCTCCACTACCTCAGTTGCCACCTGGGATCTAAAAGTCTCCTAAGGGCTCTCTGACTGCTACCTCCCTTCCCTGGTATTTGCATCTGTCATCCAGGCCTCCGGGGGAGGCTGGAGAAGCTTTGGCATCAAGGCCTGAATTCAAACCCCAGCTCCAAGCCAGTGGGGTGATCTGGTCACCTGTAGCATTTCTGAGTCTCCCAGTCCTCATCTGTTAAATGAGAACAAAACCAGCCCCTGCGTCCTGGGGTTTCCCGTCAGCTGGCCATGCTGCACTTAATGCTCAGTCATACTTGCTATTACCTTCATTATGCATATGTGTGCCCTGCTGTTGTCTGGAAAAACTCAAGTCAAACATCCCGTACCAGGGCCAGTGTCAACGGAATTACAGTCCCCCTTCGGACTGGCGGCAGCCCAGGTGCACAATGGAGTCAGGCTGGGGAAAGGCCATAAAACACCCATACTGGGCCTTACCTTTCGTCCAGTCCATCAAATCTTCCTGGGAAAGAACTCAAGTCTGAGTATTTAAAATTTTTATTTTTTCAGACAGGGTCTTGCTATGTAGCTCAGACTGGCCTTAAACTCACAATCCTCTGCCTCAGCCTTCCACATACCCGCTGGGATCGCAGGGATGTACCACCATGCCTGGCTTCAATTCTTGATATTTTAAAAAAGTTTTCCAGGACATTTTAATGTGTAGACAGAGTTGAGAAATACCAATCTCAACGAAACATTATAAAGTCATAAAATTGGGCCCATGAAACATATGTTTATATTAGTATGAAAAAGTACATCTATGTTATAACATGTAATAAAAGTGGATACATATGTGTGTACATATGTTCCCGTACACAGACATATATATAGCTAGTCCTACTTACATTTTTATATGTGCACTTATATATATACACATATGTCAAATGATTTCAATTATGTCAAAAACAAAATCTATAAATAGAAAAGAGCACTGAAAGAATATGTCACAATACCAATAATAACATCTATTTCACAGGGAAGTTAGACCACCTGCCTGAGACCACGGTGACAAGGCTGGGGTCACACGTGGCACATGGTTTAGCACATGCACTAGGTGCCTGAGAGTCAACTCTGGCTTCTTGGGGGAATCACCTGGTGGTTTTTGAAACACGGAGTGGGGCCAGCGAGCCCCACTGCACTGGCAAGGAGACTCTGGGCAATGAAGCCTGCAAAGAGCCTGTGTGAAGGTTATTTCAGCCAGGTGTGCAAGCCTTTGTTCCAAGGCCAGCCTGGCCGTGTGTGAACCCTGACTTCTCAACCCTTGAGACTGCCTGGTGGCCACACAAAAGCCAGCACTGTGGCCCCCTAGTGGCTCTAGGTGCATTTGTCTAATCTCTGAACAGACCTGTGTCCTTTGGAAGCCCTCCTCTTCCACTGACCCGACGTACTTAGTGCTTCATAAAAACTCTACTATCGCAGTCACTTTTTCTCCAGCTGCCCAGCAGACACCAGGGCCTCGCAGTCATCCTGCAAGCTACTGGGCGGTAAGGGCAGAGACGGTAACTCACCTTCGGGCACAAACATGTTGGCAATGACCATGAGCCCTGCCAAGATGAGGAAGGAGGCCACTGTGAACCGGCGGCCCACATATATCATGGTGGTGGTGGCCACCAGCATGGCTGGGATGTCGATGATCCCAAACAGAGCCTGTACCAAGTAGATGCTGAATCCAAACTTCTGCAGGTCCATGGCCAGGCCGTAGTAGGCCACAGAGTTGGAGAACCTGGGGAAGGTGGTGGAATGGTCTTGTTTCACCCCATGGACCATTTTCCCGGGCCTAGGTCAGGGCACAAAGGATGGACCACGTACATCTCCCCACCTCGGGGAGTTAAGATCCCCTGATTTTCAACAGCATCTCCTTCTGGTCTCCTAAATCTCTGACTTTGGCCTCAGAGTCTGGACTTCTCTCTCCACATCTCTCTCCAACTACCTAGTTCCCTGATTCCACTCTGTGGACTGTGGCATGTGTTTGGTTTTCCCCTGTCTGTAACACCTCAGTACTGACATTAAAATGGTGCTAAAAAGTAAAACTACAATGGTACCTCAGTTCGTGAACTTAATTCTTTCCATGACTATGGTTGTAAACTGAATTGGATGCTAACCTAATCAAATTTGATTCAGTTCATGATCAGTTTAGTTTATGACCAGACTGGTGAAAAGAATGAAGTTCCTGGCTGGGCGTGGTGGTGTACGCCTATAATCCCAGGAGGCTGAGGCAGGAGGATCACTGTGAGTTGGAGACCAGCCTGGGCTAAATAATGAGTTCCAGGTCAGTCTCAACTACATAGTGAGACCCTGTCTCAAACAACAACAACAACAACAACAACAACAAAAACAAAAAAAACAAAACCAAAAACCAAAAACCAACACAAAAGAATAAAGTTCGTGAACTGAGGTACCACTGTAAAAGAGGATGGGAATAAGTTAAAGGGCACAGGAGCCCATAAGGAAGAGCTGCCAATGGCCAAAGCTGGACCAGTTTGGGAGTAAATTGAATACTGAAACACTTACTAAATAATATGACTAATTTACTAAATTGTAACCCAAACACATATGAGTCTAAATAACTTAATAAATAAATCTGGACTAACTGGTAGAGCACTTGTCGAGCATGCATAAGACCATGAGTTTGATCCCCAGCACCTCAAAAGATAAAATAACAAATCTGTCTTATAGACGAGTGCCAAACAATATATGTGGAAACACCAACCCTTCAGGAGATGGAGCTTAGTTTCTCTCCCTTATAAATGGGATGAACTCACTTTCAAGTAATAGAATATGGAAAGAGGACATTATTAACTTTGCAGTGAATAAACATGGTAGGTATGACCTTAAACAAGTGATCAAGTTTAATACAATCAGAAACGAGTCGCGCTGCTGTCATGAATGTCCTGATGTGACAGAGTTACAGCACCGCTGTGGGACTTTCCCCAGGCTAATCATGAGAATGCCAGTAGACCAACTTCGAGGGAAGGAGAAAGACTTCCTGCAAATATCTGACCAATACTTTTCAAAGCTGTTGAGATCATGAAAAATAAAGAAAAACAAGAAACTGTCACAGATCATAGGAGACATCATAACTAAATGGAATGTGGTTTCCAAACCAGTGAAACTAGCCAGAAGAAAGAAAGAAAGAAAGAAAGAAAGAAAGAAGCTTGCCAGGAATGGTGGAACACATCTGTAATCCGAGCACTTGGAGGCTGAGGCAGGATTGCCATGAGTTTGAGGCCAGCCTGGGTGAGTTCAAGGCCAGACGGAACCACACAGTGAGACAGTGTTTCAAAAAAAAAAAAAAAAAAAGTGAAACCCACATAACACATAAAGTCTCTGGTTTAATCAGTAAGAAATTATGAATGCCAAATTTTTACTCTGGACAAATATACTGTGATAATGTAAGATGAGGTAAACCTGGGTGATAGATGTATAGGAACTCTTTGTATTATGTTTGCAATTTTTCTATGACTATACACTTATTCCAAAATAAGAATTTTATGAAAAGGGGAAACTGTAAAGCAGAAGATGCTTGCAAGAGCCGATATCTAAAAAAAACTATATCTAGAAAACATATGTCTTCCTATAAGGCAATAAGGAAAAAATATAACCTAGAAGACAAATTTGGCCAAAGTCTTAGATAAGCATGTTGTAAAGGGAGACATCCAAAACCCCAATGAGTATATGAAAATACGTCTGCATGCGTTAGGCAGCAGGAAAATGTGAACTAAAGTTATAGTATGATGGGCCAGGGTTTTGGCTCAGTGGACACCGCACCTGCCTTGCAAGTGCAAGGTCCTGAGTTCAATCCCCAGTACCCCCCAAAAAAAGTTATAGCATAATAATATCACTGTATGTTCATAATAGTAGCTGAAATTAAAATGACATATAATACCAAGAGTGCTTGGGATGTGGAACAATTGGAGCTCTCGTGCTGGCACATTCACTGTGACAGGAAGTGTGAATTGGTGCAACCCCTTTGGAAAGTGGCATGTTTCTCTCTGTGTCAGAGACGCATTCATACTCAGGATTCAGCAGTTTCAATCCTTGGTGTACATATGACAGAACTGTATGTGAATTTTCACCAAGAGAACTGTACAAAAATGCTCATAGCAACACTATTTCTAATAGCCAAAACTAGGAAGAACCCGTTTCCATCAACAGTAAAAAGGATGAAGTTTCTCCAGTAGTTTCCTATTTTTGTTGTAACAAACTGCCACAAACTTAGTGACTTAGATGTATTTATTGTCTTACAGCTCTAGAAGTCAAAAGTCTGAAATGGGTCTTACTGGACTAACAGAGTTGGTAGGTAGGTGTCTTAGTTACTTTTCTCATTGCTGGGACAAAATACGTAACACCTAGGCTGGGGATTTAGCTCAATGATGCTATGTTTGCCTTGCAAGCATGAGGTCCTGAGTTCAATCCCAGTACAGAAAAACAAAAAACAAAATATACACCACCCACACGTTAAAGGAGGAAAGATTTCTTTTAGCCCTTTATAGAGGTTTCAGTCTATATTCAGCTGGCTCCAAGGCAGGGCAGCATGGCAGAGGGGCATGGCTGAGGAGAAACAGTCCATGGCAGGGTAGGCAGGAGGCAGCAAGCAGCAAAGCATCAGCCTCCTTTTTATTCCATCCAGGCTACAAGCCTACTGGTAGGTGTCACACCCAGGGAGGGGGTTTCATTAGCCACACCCAGAACTATGCTAAACCATCAGAACACTAATTTAGTTATCACGCACCCTTAATCTGTATTTGCACACCTCCAAAAAGTGCCACCTGAGGCTTTGGGGCACATGTAGATGCAAGCTATATCAGTAGGGTGGAGGGCTGGGGATTTAGCTCAGTGGTGCTGCCACCTGCCTAGCAAGTACAAGATCCCAGGTACCAAAAAGTAAAATAAATACATGAACAGCAGGGCTGAGTTCCTTCTGCAGAACTGGGAGTGAAATCTTTCAGCTTCTAGAAGCCACCTGCATCCCTTAGGTTGTGGCTGCTTTCCTCAGTCTTTAAAGCCAGCAGCACAGCATCTCCAAAGCTCACTCCAGCCTGACCTCCTTACAAATGCCTTTGGAATTACATTGCATCAGGCTGGAAAATCCAGCATAATCCAGCATCTGCCGTTCCACACTAGGGGGCCCCTGGGGGTTGTCTTGATCTGGCTGTTTGTTGATAATGGGTGTGTACTATGTGTGAAAATTTATTAAACTGAACACTGTACATGTCTGTATATGTTATATCTTAATAAAAGATATATGTGATAGAAAAAATTCTAAGATGGTCTCCAAATTCCTGCTACAGGTGTTCATGTGTTTTTTCCCAATTATTCAAACACTAATCTAGGTGTTGTGAAAGGATTTTCACAAGTATAATTAAAGTCTCAAATCAGTTGGTTTTAAGGCAGATCTGTTTTCTTTCAGGAAAGCCTGACCTAAAAAGTCCTTTTAAAATCTGTGCCTAGAAGTTATTCAGAGGCCAAAGGCCCCAGGCAGGGCAGGGTAGCACAGCCCCAGCTCCCATACTTGGAGAGGCACCACCTCCCCCCTCAGCTGTGGAGCCCACTGTGCCATCCCTAACTGAGGGGGACCTCACTGAGGTGTTTACCTATGTGAGAAACTCATAGCTAAGACATATTTTATCATCTATGTGCAAAAGAAAAAAAAAAAAAAATGAGGGCTAGGGATTTAGCTCAGTGGTGCCACCACCTGCCTCTCCATGGCAAAGTCCTGAGTTGGATCCCAGGTTAAAAAAAAAAAAAAATGGGGGCTGGGGATTTAGCTCAGGGGTGCCACCACCTGCCTCTCCATGGCAAAGTCCTGAGTTGGATCCCAGGTTAAAAAAAAAAAAAAAAAAAATCAATAGAGAAGACACTGAAGAAATTTCTGGCCAAACATCAAGTAGGAAGGGCTGGGGGTTTAGCTCAGTGGTTCCACCACCTTCCTCAAAAGTGCAAGGATCAGAGTTTGATCCCAGGTACCAAAACAAAACATCAAGTAGAAAAGAGGCTAGATAATTGTTAGACTACTTACAAGAAAACCCCAAAGGACTAGACACCCATGTTGAATGTGTTAGGTGAAAAAAAAACAACAACAAAAAAAAACCCCACAGAACTTCCTGTTAGAGATTACAGATGAAGTGCTGAAACTTAGAAATATAAAACTAGAATATCTGAAAACTACTATAATGGAGCTTTAGTTTAAATAAACATTCTAACACTGGGGTCAAAACATCTCTTTCTAAGCCTAAAAGAACAGTTTAGCTATTTTCATTTTTTTTCCCACTATAAATGAACAAGACCAAAAGTGATTAACATGTCCTGGTCTTGCTTTTAGCTAACATTTTTACCAAGTCATGTATTTATTTAAAAAGTCATATAAAGTATTATTTCATTAGTATAAAAAAACCCTAGAATATCTGAAAGGACTGAAACGTAGCCGATGTGAGCCTTTCCCAGGTGGAGCCGCGAACAACCTTTCTAGATCAAATTCAAACAAGAACAATTTCTCTGAAAGACTGGGAGCATCCACAGTCGTGTACCACCCAGAAAGAGAGTCCAGTAACTCCTTTCTTTCCTCCTGTTTCTTCTCTGAGTTTGCCTGTCATGGAAACAGGCAGAACCGGTGATACTATCTTCTCCTTCAGTACACTTCCCAACACCTGGGGGCCTCCCCTGCCACCAGAACTGCGGTCGGAAGGAGGAGGAACTTGGGCTGGGGACTTAGCTCAGCAGCACTGCCCCTGTCCTGAGTTCAATCCCCAGTACTACAAAAAGAAGGGGGCGCTTGAGTGAGAATTAAGATCACGTGCTCTTTTACTGCAGTAACACTTCACTGTCTTTGAATTCTGTCATAGTGACAAAAAATGTTTTAAATGATATGAATCTTTTTATAGGACCACTATAATGATTTATGCACAGCTGATATGTCTTTTTAAAAAACACAGTGTGGGGCTGGAGATGTAGTTCAGTGGCACTGTGTCTGCCTACCAAGTGCAAGGCCCTGAGTTCGATTCCTGGTACCCCTCCCAAAAAAGAAATTTTAAAATTTTAAAATAAATAAAAAACACAGTATAAGCATACTTCGTAAATAGACTAGATTAAAAGCAATACTTTTGCATGATTTAAATGTAAATCATGTTGTTCATGTATTTTTTGGTGTTTTCTTTTTTGTAAGTTTTTCTCTTTTTTTGGTGTTTGGTACTTTGAAGTTTTTTAGACCATGAGATTATTTATTTATTTATTGGTACCAGGAATTAAACTCAGGCCCTTGCACTTCCAAGGCAAGCCCAGTGCCACTGAGCTAAATCCCCAGCCTAATAGGGATTATTTCTTTGGAATAAACTCTTAGGCTGAAAAAAAAAATCTGTGTCTAGTCTACTTTTCTTTTTTATACTGGGGATCAAACTCAAGTCCTTACACTTGCAAGGCAGGCACCGGAACCACTGAGCTAAACCGCCTTTCTGTGTCTAGTCTAGAGGGCCCATGTGGAGAAGTGCAGCTATCCTGGAAGAATTGTGAGTGGCCCCAGCTAACAGCTGTTGAGGAAGCAGGGACGTCCATCCTACAGCTGTGAGGAGCTGAATTCAGCCAGTGATCCAGAGGAACTGGGATGTGCGTTCTTCTCCAGAGCCTCTGGAAAGGACCCAGATCTGACCCACACCTTAGTTTCAGCTCCGTATGAGCCCAAGCAGGGAAACCAGGCAAATGATGCCTGATCTCCTGAACTGGGCTGTAAACTCATAAACAGTTGTCCTGTTTTGTTTTGTTTTGTTTTTTTGGGGGGGTACCGGGGATTGAACTCGGGTCCTTACGCTTGAGAGGCAGGCGGCAGAACAGTTGTCCTGTTTGAGCTGCCAAATCTTGGTAAAGTAAGGGACAATGAGTCATAAACCATCTGGTCTGCCAGGTACGAGAGCCCACTCCTGCAATCCCAGCTACTCTGGAAGCCCAGGCAGGAGTATTACCAGTTTATGCCCAGGCTTGGCAATTTTTGAGACTGTCTCAAAATAAAATAACAAGAGCTCAGCATTCCCTGGGTTCAATCCCCAGAGCCACAAAAGCCAGCCAACAAAAGGAAAATCCAGCTGGTCTACATCTATATCCTTTGCTTGACAGCATGTTTGCTCACGAGGGGGAAAGACACTGAGTCTTCCTGCAGCCTAGAAAGCCACCCAGGCAAGACTGGCATTGGCAGTGTGTTTCAGACAAACCTCCTGTGTGAGAACCTGCTGTCAAAGATGGAAGGTGCTGAGTGACCGAAGACAAGGGGACAAACCCGGGATTGCAGAGTGCAGCTGACGGGGGATTTACCAACAGCAGCTTGGCCTGGGCAGCAGTGAGACAGGAGGGAAGTTTATCCCTGACCTAGACAATGGTGGACTCTGGCCAACCAGAATATACCTGGGCTTTTAAATAACCATTAACATGCCCAGTGTCAGTTGAAAAAACAGCCTGGTGCCAGGGCCTGACACTACGTTAGGCTCTCTTAACGACTTTTCCTGCAGGGTTTACAGTGCCTGTCTGGGTCCGCATGCAGTCTGTTCCTGAAATTGCTTCTTAACCAATCCACTATACTGTATGTATATGTCTGGATTGTTTAGAGAGAAAAATGAATATGCATTGCTTTTGAAATTTGGACATTTCAGCCTGGTGTGTGGTGCGTGCCTGTAATCCTAGCCCTCTGGAGCCTTAGGCAGGAGGATCGCCACATGTTCAAGGCCAGCCTGGGCTACACAGTGAGTTTAAACCCAGCCTGAACTACACAGCATGATCCTGTCTCAAAACAAAAACAAAAATAATAACAACAAAAACAAAGAAATTTGGAAATTACCCAGGAAAGGAAAAATATATGTAAGTCAGTGGAAGCTTTTTACAACAGGGTCTGGAGGAAGCTGGTGAAAGTTTACCAGTTTTCACACTCCCTCTTCTTGCCTCTAAGTCTCTGAAGCCCAGGAATCCCCGTGCCCCTATCCCATACACCCAAGTGAGGAAGGCAATGGGGGGGCACACACGCCCCTTCCTGCCCTGCCAAGTCAGTGCAGGGCAATTGGTCCCCAGCACTGTGTGCAACCAAGTCAAATATTTGGAAGAGTTGGGCATGGTGGTGCACACCTGTAATATCGGCTCTCCAGAGGCTGAGGCAGGAGGATTGCTGCGAGTGTGAGGCCAGTCTGGGTTCATAATGAGTTCAAGCCCAGCCTGAACTGCATAGAGAAACCTTGTCTCAAAAAACAAAACAAACTGGGCTGGGGATTTAGCTCAGTGGTTCTACCACCTGCCTTGCAAGCCCAAGGACCCAAATTTGATCCCTGGTATCAAAAAAACTAAACCAAACCAAAACCAACCAACCAACCAACAAAAAACCCTTGGGAGGGACCAGGAAATTAACTCAGTGACCCTGTGCCTGCTTCTCACTGGGCTACTAAATTTTTCCCTGTGCAAATCAAGCAGAACCAGCTGGGCAACTGCTAGCAGAGTGGGGCAGAGGTTGTGAACCCCAAGTGGACCAGCTCCCCAGAGCACCTCCCCACTTGCCATCAGAGCTGCTGGTTGCTATCACTTCGCTTGCTACCAAAAATGGACCTTACTCTTTCCAGACAGATCCAAGGAAGGATTTTCAACTGTGGGGTTTGCAACTCAAGACATGTTCTTCCCAATGGGAAAAGAAAGGTAAGGAATGAGCTAGGTGCAAAGGGCCTCTAGGCCAGCATGGGCCACTGAGAATTGTTCTTTCCTCTGGACCTCAGGTCTGGGTCCTCTCCTGCTGCCCAGAGCCAGAATTGCCTTGCAGGTAACACTGTTGACTAGAGCCCCTCTCAAACCCCAGGGTAAAGGACCATCCCAAACACAAACTAGACAACAGAGACTCTTACCAGAGACCTTCCCAGGTGCTGGGCACTATGTAACCACTTCATTTGTCATTTGTGCATGTTTTTTCTTTTTTCTTTTTTTGTGGGGCAGGGGGGTGTTATAGCCCAAGTTGGCTTCAATCTTGTAACCCTCCTGCCTCAGCCTCCCAAGTGCTGGGATTATAGGCATGAGCCACCACACTCAGACGCCTTAACTTTTGATCCTTAGCAGCATCCTGCAGGCCAGTGCGAAATAAGCGGTGGCATATGTCTGTGATCCCAGCACTCCAGAGGCTAAGGCAGAAAGATTACAGTGAGTTGCACTCTCCAGCCTACACTACATGGTGAGCTCAAGGACAACCAGAACTGCATGTGAAACCCTGCGGCAAAACAAGCAAAAGTAGAAACTGAGGCACCATGAGGCTCACTGACTTGCTGGAGGTCAAAGGGGCAGTCTGGGCTCAGCTCAGCAGGTCACGACTACAGGAGAATGCTTGGTCTGCTCCGGAGAATGAGAGAAAGTAATTACATATCCAGTGGAAAGAAACTGCGCTGGTCATTTTGTACCAGCCCCCCTGCTGTGTCTGCTTGCACTCAGAGCTATGGCGCTAGGGCTGCTTTTGAATTTTATCCATTTTGCATCTTCATGCTTATGTGTGGTCAGGAATTCCTTTCTGGCACCCTAGCCCCCCCGCTGAATATCACCTGCTGTTAGGATACTTGTCACACTTCACGGATACCGTTTCCTGTCTGTTCCCTTCTGGACTGGGGGTGTTTGTTCGGAGTGGACACACCCCGTGGGGACGCAGGATGAGACTGGCCTGGCGGTTCCAGTAGTGCCCCGCCCAGGTGAGATCTACTGCCCAGGTGCAGTGCCCTAGGTCAGCTGTGTGTCTCATGGTCACCACACCTCAGAGGGGCTCGTGCTGAGAGGGATTCACAAGTCTCCCTGCTCACTGTCTGAGGACAGAGTTTGACAGTGGAGGCAGAAGTCACATTCCTGCCAAGGTCAAAGACTCCAGTGAACCCGTCACCTACCAGACCACCATGAGACAGCAGGTGACCTTGCGGATGGCTGGGCTTCGGAAGAGGTCCAGGATGGAGTTGGAGGTGAGGACACTGGCATACTCATTCTGGATGTAGGAGCGCACCACCTGGATAAGGAATGTCGGATCAGGGGCAGGGAGCCGGGAGTGGCCTCTTCCCTGGACAGGGAGCTGAAGTTGTGCTCCCTGCCATAATGGCCAGCCCGTCTCCTCTTCATCCTGGGATTCATGACCCTCGGCAAGCCATGTCCAGAGCTTGAGATGCCTTGGAGGCTTCACATGCACCCCAACACCTCTGAGGCTCTGTAGTTTCAGAGGGAACCTCACTCCATTCCCTGAATAAGCTTTGAGACAGTGCCAGACAGTGGTTAAAATCAAGGGGTCTGAGCAGGTTGGCCACCTCCCGTGGGTGTCTTTAGGCAAATTACCTAACCTGTCTAAAGCCCAATTCCTCACTGGAAAAATGAAACATCAAATGAAGTTATGTATGTCAGACTATTAGCATAGTGCCTTGCATGGGGCTTAATAAACAGCATATATTGATCATAATGACTCTTATAATTAGCATTTATAATAGGTAATACTATTGCTATTGATCTTGCAATAATTTCATTTTATGATAACGATTTCTCTTTTTCCTTTTTGAGACAGGGTCTCATTATATAGGCTGGCCTTGAGCTCACTGTGTATTCCGGGCTGGCCTTGAACTCAAAGGGGTCTTCCTGTTTCAGCCTCAGAGTCCTGAGATTACAGGCATGCACCACCATACCTCTCACTATTTAAAATATGATTCAAATATGATTAAAATTTTGACCGGATGAGGTTATTTCCTCAATGCACAGATGGGCAGACTCATGAACAAAGGAGTTAAATCATTGGCTCAGGTTGCAAAGCCACGTGATGCCCAGACCACTCCTTCCCCACAGCAGAGCTCTGCCCGCCCTGGCCATTACCAGCCTCAGCACCTGGTGCATGAGAGTCCTGGGAAGCTGTCAAATGCAATATGACCAGAGGCCGGCGGTGAGACAGACGATCGTCCCCAGCTTTCCTCCCACACGTGCCCCCTACCTCTATGGTCAGCCTTTCCCCTTCTTCCTTTCTCCCATTCATCACAGCTACCATTTGCAGGTTCTGCACAGCCTTCTGGGATTTGCCGTGAAGAAGGAGCCATCGGGATGATTCCGGCAGCCACCTGAGTTAGAAAGAAGGCAGAAGAGGAACCAGGGCTGGGGAGAGCTCATTTCAGCCCCTGAAGCAAGTTACACCTCCATCCACCTTCAGACGTACACTGTCTTCTTGTCTCAGAACCGGGAGCCTGGCGGACAGGCTGCCTTTCCATCGCTCGCAGCGTGTCCTACAGAGGATCACTGAGAATATGACAGACACTGAATTGAAGCTGGTTCTGAACCCAGCCATGTGGCTTTGAATAGACTATGTCCTCACTGGGCTACGCCTTGATTCTCATAAATTGCCAGGAAAGGCACAAAGGAGTTGACGAAAGCAAAGCATCTGATGGGTCTGGAGCCCCTCACTGCTGAGGGAAGGTTTAATCGGAGCTTCCCGAAAGCCATCCATCAGTACTCGGGAGCCCACGGTCCCACGAAGAGCTGTCACATTCTGTGTCCCCACCAAGTCCAGCAAATCCCAGGCATTACACACATGACTTCTTGTAGGGCCAGCTCTGTGCTACATACCATGAATACAGGAAAAATATCAGGAAAGGAGCAGAGACAGCAAGCTGCAGCCACCGCCAGGGGCGGATCAGGTATGCGACACCGGCCAGGACCAGCTGGCCCATCGTGAAGGAGTAGCCCAGCAAGATGCCTGCTATGGTCCGGCCCTGGGTGGGCATCCACTCCACAACTGCAGGGGAAACAGCAACACACACAAGGGATGCAGCTACGCAGTGGCCTAATTCACCCGCCCCTTTGTCAGGACTGTGACAATATTTTTTTTGTTGTTTTGTTTTGATTTTTGAGACAGGGTCTCACTATGTAGTTGAGACTGACCTGGGACTCACTATGTAGCCCAGGCTGGTCTCGAACTCACAGCAATCCTCCTGCCTCAGCCTCCCAAGTGCTGGGATTACAGGCGTGTGCCACCATGCCTGGTTTAGGTCTGTGGCAATTAAAAATAATTCCAAGATTCACTGAGACAGCGGCCAATGCATCTCTACCTCATCCTTTATACCCAGGAGGTAGAAGAATTAAATGCAAGCAATAAAACTACAAAAATGATAGAAGAACTCATGGTTAGAGTTTTTTTTTTATAGAGGAAGACTTTTTCCAAGAGTATTACAAAATCCAGAAGCAATAAAATGAAAGTTCAACAAATTTGAATTCATAAAAATAAGAGATAGCTACATGAGGAAAAAAAAAATGCCAGGGCTGGGGTTTTAGCTCAGTGGTGCCACCGCCTGCCTCAAAAGCTCAAGGTCCTAAGTTTGATCCCCTGTATAGAAAAACAAAACAAAACAAAAACAGAAAACAGAAAAAAAGAAAAGCCACAGCCAAGTTATAGTGTCAGAAAAAAAAAAAGCAGAAATATTTGCAATTCAGGTAAAAGGTAAAGGGTTAATGTCTCCTAATATGAGAAGAGTTCTTACAAATGGTTAGGAAAATGACTAACAGGCTAAAAGGAAAATAGGCAGGGGTAAGAAGAGTTGGTAGGAAAGGAAATACAATGGCTTATAATCCTATGAATAAATGCTCCATCTCACCCAGAGGCAAAGATGCAGATTTTTGTAAATAGCAAAATTTGAAACGACCTAAATGTCCATCCATGGGGGACTGGTTCATTAAGTCCAGACACAGCCTCACAAGGCAGAGAAGCAAATCCATGAAGACATTTCTTTCCGGTAAGCAACCCGGGTCGAACCCACCAGCCAGTCCTGTTGGTTCTGCCTTCCCAATTAGTTCAGCCCTGCTGCTACCACCTGGCCCGCCTTGGCCTCGGCTTTTCTGGGACAATGGCAGTGGCATAACTTGGCCTCCTGCTTCTGTTTCTGTGTCACACTGCAGCAGCCCGGATCTTGTCAAATTTTAAATCTTGAATCAGGTCAGCTCTTCACTTAGCTCAGACTCCTCTGGTACCTCCCATCTCATTTGGAATTAAAGGAGCCTTACTCCTTTAGCTCTTCCAAGTGTTGCTCAAAATGACACCTCACCACGGAGCCCTTTCTCTGCCCACTTGAATTAAAACTGCAGACCATTCCCCTGCTTCCTGCCCATTACTTTCCCTCCCCTAGGGCTTCTGTTTCCCCTATGGGACCAGCCACCTTCTGAAGTACTGCTATGACTCACTTATTTGTGGTACCATTGTCTATCTCTCCTTGCAAGCAGAAGGACTCCAAAGAGCAGAGTCTGCTTTGGTCATACTGCATCCCCAGTGCGTAGAACTGTGCCTGGAACATAAAGAGGCCCTCGACCAATAAATGAGCCAGTAGACAGCGTCTTTAAGTGCCAAAGCTCATGATGTGGAACAGGAGTTGGGGTGTAGCTGGCTGGCAGAGAGAGAGAGTGCTTGCTTAACATTTACTAGTTTGTATTATTAGTAAAACAATGTGCATAATAATAAAAGAGGAGGGCTGGGGTGGTGGTGCGTGTTTGTAAGCCCAGCACTCAGGAGGCTGAGGCAGGAGGGTCACTATGAATTCAAGGCCAGCCTAGGCTACATATTGAGTTCAAGACCAGCCTGAACTACACAGTGAGACCCTATCTCAAACAAACAAACAAACACAAAAAGAGGAGAGAGGTGTAAGCGTATGGGTGGGTGTGTCACCACCTTCTTGTGGCTCAATCCTGGAATAGGATGAGGCCTGTGACAGGAATTCAGGGCTCCCAACTCTCTAAAAACACTCTCTAATTCACCCAGCTGTCCCAAGGCATCTGCCTGCTACACCTGGTACTCCAGCTCCAAGAGTTTCCTCAGCTGAAGTGAACGATCTCTTCTGTCTTTGGACAACTGAGGACAGTGGCAGTTTCTGAGCCCAGTAGTGTCCATGGAGCAAGTTAAGTAGTTTATGTGAGTCCAGTATGGTCTTCCTACTGCCTGCAGTGCTCTCTGCCAGGGCCACCCAGAAGCCGTGAGTCTGGAGTGACATTTGACCTTGGCATTGGCCGTTTGTGTGGCATCGAGGAGACCAGGTTACCTAAGAAAACCCTTGCCTTTGCAGCACGGGTAAACCTCATCCTGTCTCACTGCCCTCTGTGTCCCCGTCACCTCTGTGACCCTTTCCTAAGCTGCCACGCAACGTGTGCTTAGTAAGTTAAGTGGTTATTATTGGCTCACTCACAAATGAAATAAACACCACCCTCAGCCTGCTCATGAGTAAACTCAAACCCACACCAGGGAACCAGCTGCCGCCAGCAGGTCTCCCAAATCCGGATGCTCAGTGGGAGGTTTTGAGGGTCAGTCGCTGGATGAGAACCCCAACACCACCGAATAAGAAGATGCCCCAGGGTGGGGCCCACTCCCCTCTCTCCAGCCCCCGTTCCTTCAGCCCCTCTTGGCTGGACTCACCCAGCGAGAGGGAGTTGAGGATGATGCCGGAGAAGGTCATGCCCATCAGGAACCGGAAGACGCAGTAGGCACTGAAGGAGCCGAAATACGCTGTGGCGGCCCCTGAAACTGCCAGCTGCAGGTACGACCAGACCAGGGGGGCCTTGCGGCCCAGCCTAAGCCCAGGAATGGACACAGGTGTTAGGGTTCTGGGAGGTGGTGGCAGCAGCCCCCCATCCCCGGGGAGCAAATCGACAGCCAGCACCTGACCCTTCTTTTTCTTTTTTTTCTCATTGAGTCTATTGGTACATTCGAGGTATACAGTACAGTTACATTCATTACTGGGATCTTGTACCTTCACACGACAGGTCTTGGTTCTCATTTTTTCCCCTTGTCCCTGCCCTCCCTTCACCCCCCTCCTTAGCACCTGACCCTTCTTTTTCTTTTTTTTCTCATTGAGTCTATTGGTACATTCGAGGTATACAGTACAGTTACATTCATTACTGGGATCTTGTACCTTCACACGACAGGTCTTGGTTCTCATTTTTTCCCCTTGTCCCTGCCCTCCCTTCACCCCCCTCCTTAGCACCTGACCCTTCTGCCCTGGTGACAGGGATCAAGGCAATCAAGAGAAGACGGGGTACTTGGTGAACCCCCAACAACAACAGCCACTACAGGACCCAACAGTGCTGGTTGCATTGGAGGGGGGGGTTGGCACAGGTTGAAAGAAAACTGGAGACAGATTTATCCCGGGCACAGAAAGGCAGAGAAACTGCAGGGACCCAGAGGTGGGTGCAGCGTCTAGGCTGGAAGGAGGCCTCAGAGCAGAACTCAGAGCAGTGAGGACTTGGGAGGTCCAAGCTGCAGGAGGAAGAGCCAGGGGCAGCTCTTCTGGGGTCAGTGAATGCCAGGCCGGGGTGGTGCAGTCTTTGCCGGTGGCTGTGGCACTGCCCCATTGAAAGTGCAGGCCCAGAGCCAGCGTGCAGCCTGGCTCATCTAGGAGGGTGGCAAGAGGACAAAGGCACAGATAGCATTCTCTCCCTCACGCCCACGACACGTTCACTGATAGATTATTTCTTCCTTCCTTCGGGCACTCGCTCACTGTCACACAAATGTTATTGATCACCTCTAAGTGACAGGTCTGAGCCAAGGCTGGTGACATACAGTGCACTCTGGGTAAGACACAAGCTCACACGTAGGGAGGTCAGGAAGTGTCATGACACCGTGCTGAGGACATGGCAGGGAGCTGTCTACACCCAAAGGAGTGGGTCTGGAGTCCAGGAGGACCCCCGGCAACCTGAACAGAGAGGGGGCAGTGAGGAGGGAAAAGGGGAGAAGGCAGGGCAGAGAGGGACAGAACAGACCACAGAGCCAGACAACACCTTGATGTCCACCAGTGCGGTGGGTTGTGGGATTCCTGGCTCATTCACACACAGGGGCTGCAGTGCAGAGATTAGGGAGGACAAGAAAGCTTTTTCCGGGCCGGGGATTTAGCTCAGTGTTGCCTCCGCCTACCTCACAAGTGCCAGGTCCTGAGTTCGATCCCCAGTACAAAAAAAAAAGAAAGAAAGAAAAAGCGTTTTCCAAAGGAGTATGGAGAAGCCTCCAGAATGAAGACAAAGCCAGGTCATTACCATGTGTGGGTGAGCCAGCACTGTACGGAAATGGGGGATAAAGGCTGGTGTGGTGAAACACGCCTGTGATTCCAGCACTCGGGAGGCTGAGGCAGGAGGATTGTCCTAAGTTCAAAGCCAGCCTGGGTTACATAGCCAGACCCTGTCTGAACCCCCCCTAAAGAAATGGGGGGACAAGCATAACAGATGTTCACATGATTGACTCTGCATAAAGCAATAAATATTTTTGGTGAGAATAGCTAGAAGAGAGGATTTTTAATGTTCTCACCACAAATGATAAATGTTTAAGGTGACAGATATATTCGTCACACTGGACCCCATAAATATGTACAATTAGGTGTCAATCAAAACTAAAAACTTTAAAAATAGGTGGGAGTGTTGGCATATGCCTGTAATCCCAGCACTCTGGGAGCTGAGACAGGAGGATTTTAAGTTTGAACCAGCTTAGGCAACTTAATGATTTAGTGAGATCCTGTTGCAAAAAAATAAGGAGAGGTAGTGGTGGAGATGTTGCTCAGTGCAAAGGCCCTGGGTTCAATCCTTAGCAATGAAAAAAGAAAGAGAGGGAAAGTGAGAGAGAGAGTAAGAGCTGGTGAGAGGATAAGAGGGTAGAGAGTGAGGGCAGAGAAGAGAAAGGAAGACGAGAGGAAAAGAAAAGAAAGTCTGGTTACAGACAGGAAAACTGAGCTGACCTCCTGGAGATCCTGCCCTCTGGCATGGAGGGGCTAGGGTGGGAAAGGGAAGTTTCCCTCCTGAATACTTTTTCTACCTTTTGGAATTTTGGAATATGGACATATGTATGATCCATTCCAAAACATATCGTTAAGGCCGGGGATTTAGCTCAGTGGTTCCACTGCCTGCCTTGAAAGCGCGAGGGCCCGACTTCCGTCCCCATACCAAAAACAAAACCAAACTGATACATATAAAGAAAAACTAATGCAGATCTGAGACTTTCAGGCCCTTGCTGGGTGGCTGAAAACCGCCCCTCTCACCTGTCTGCCAGGCTGCCGAACACTGCGGCCCCCAGCAGCACCCCGGCCATGTAGATGGACTGAGCCAGGTCGCGGAGGGTGCGGGCCTCACACACCAGGTCCCACTGCAGGGAGAGAGGGCACTCAGCCAGGGCCTCAGGTGTAGCCCCCCAGCCCCCAGCCCCCTCCGACCTCTGTCACGATGGTGGAGGGGAAAACGCTGAGGTCATAGACCCAGCCGTGTTTGCAGGACTCCGTGGCCGCCCCCTGGAAAGAGGTGTTGGGTCTCAGAAGGGTCCACTGAGGCTCTGTGAAGCGCTGGCATGACTCAGGGACTCCGTGCTGGTCCAGGGGGACAGTAGCCCTCAGCCAGGCCCCCGAGTCGTTGGTGGCAGTGTGGTTGGTGGGGTGCTGGCAGTGGTGGGGGGGCACGGCGGCTGTGAAGTTCTGCAGGAAGTTGTGGCAGGCCAGCAGGCTGCAGGGTAGCAGCAGCAGAGCGGTGTAGACGAGCTGGAAGCGGCCCACGCCACCCAGGGTATCCAGCAGGTCTGTGAAGGCCATGGCTATCGGCCTGAGCAGAGGCCCAGTTGACTGGGCCTTAAGTAAGGGTGTGGGTGGGGCCCTGGGAGGTAGAGGATCAGGCCAGGGGTGGGGACCACAGATGCTGAGTCCTCGGCTCAGAGGGTTTGGGTTACCCCACAGGAGGCCCCCCAGGCAGGGCTCCCTCCCTCGGGCCCTTTCTCCCCATCTCTCTCCTCCTGAGTTAGAAAAGCACAGGTTCCCAGAGGTCAGCTCACAGCCCACACCCAGATCTGCAGGCCGGCACTGCGGGACCCTGGCAGTGAATGCAGCAACCCCCCCTCCCTTTCCTCTGGGGGCCATCAGAGCCTCAGGAGCCCTCATTTTGGCCTCAGCGCAGGGGATGCACAGTCACCAGGCTCCAAACTGCAGCTGGAGTCAGAAGGCCTCAGAGGTCAGAGTAACGAATAACGGAGTGCCAGAGATTATGGCGACCCATCCTTCTCCCGCACCAGGGGACAGGAACTTGGCTGCACTGGTGACACTGGGATAAATCCCTTAACAATGTCCAAATAAGGAAGCCTCAGACAAGGGTCTCCAATGGCGAGGCCTCAGGTGTTCCAAACCTGCATCCCCATCCACCGAATTCCTGAGGGGAGCAGAGGGTGTGGCAAACACTGCCCGCCTCCCTCACCCCTCTCACACTCCAGCCCCTTACTGATGAGGACACTGAGGCCCAGCTGGCTCTGGCCAGGGGCTCCCACTGAGCAGGTCACATGGGCAAGATGCAAGCTCAGGGTGGCTGAGACTGGACAGAGGCAGTCTGTGGCTCAGCTGAGGGAGCCTCCACCTCCATCCCTCCTGCTCCCTCTGTCCGTCCTGGTGGGCAGCTCCAGCTCCTCCGTCCCAACCCAAGCCCACTTATCTCTGGTAAGAGCAGCCAAGCTCCCAAAGGGCAGGAGCGGCTTATGTAAGCAGCAGGTGTCGAGGCCACGGGGACAGCCCTCACCTCCATCACAGGACCTGAAGGAGGCTCTGTGTTCTGGGGGCCTCTGGGGGGCCAGGTGTGTGCTAAGTAGGGGTTTGGGTTTCAGCCTGAGCCTTCCCCTGGCGGACATGTGAAAGGAAGGCAGAGGTCAGGGTTCCAGCCCTAGAGCAGGACGTGTAAGACCAGCCAGGCCACATGGCCCTGAGCTGTGCGGCTCTGTCCCTGCCCCCAATCCTCCCCAACTTCCCAGGCCATGGTCCGACCCAGGTCCCAGGGCTCCAGCCGTGGGTCTGAGGCTACCAGCTCTGCCCCACGCCAAGGCACAACAGCAGTTCTGGGAGAATCACACTCCAGAGACAGTTGAGGCCTTTTCCTTTATTATTTGGGGTTCTCTGCATGGAAACATAGGAACTCCCTGCCCCACACCCAGTGCCTCTGGTACCCCACAGTTCCTGAAGAGTCCCTTTTAAAATCACCAATATAAAAAAGGAGAGGAGCAAGGAAGGCCCAACCCCCCTAGGCGGGCAGCTCCTGGCAGACAGGAAGGGCTACAGAGGGGTGAGCTGCAGGGCAAGGGGGGCGGGCTTTGGCTTCAGCCCAGAAGGCACAGGCAATCCCAGGAGGGGCTCACACGCCAGGGTGGCAGACTGTAGGCCGGCAGACTGTAGGCGGACTGTGCTGGGCAGCTAGTGGTTATAGTCTGCAGGCGGGGCCAGGTGGGTGGGGCTAGAGCGGCCTCTGGAGTGAGTCAGAGGTCACATCAGGTTGTTGGCTTAGGGACTGCACCCCACACTGAGGCAGGAATGAGGGCAAAGCTGCCTTCCTGGCTTGGCGATGGGGCGACGGGGCAGGGGAGTCCCTCCTGAGCCCAGGCTGGGGACAGTGAGGGCCAGGAGAAGGGCCAGGAGGACGAGGGTGCCTGCTTGCTCCAAGGAAGGCACTTGCAGCTGGTGTGGCCTGATGTGGCCTGGCGTTGCATGGCAGGAGGACGAGGAAAGGAGAGGAGCAGCAGAGGGCACCGAGCCCCTGCCTCATGCAAACATGGTCAGCTGTAACCACTGCAGAAGGAAGCAGACCAGTGGGTGAGGGCAGCAGACTCGGCTGCCTCAGTTTCCCTCTTCACCTGGACCCTGAGTCCAGGGCCCAGGCCAGAGTCAGGAGCTACCATCTCTTTCCCCTCTTTGGGGACCCTCAGGGGAGCAGCTGCTGTCTTCCCTCCTCTACCCCTGGAAGACGAGGCTGCTGGCCCCTGTGGAGATTTCCCCTCTTCCCTCAGAACATGGGTTGGGTAAGGAAACCACCACCGCCTCTGCCAACCTCCACCCAGAGTCCCACCTTAAACAGGTCAAAGGTCACCACTCCATCCAGATCCGTATCCAGAGTTTTGAAAAACCCTGCATATGGAAACAAAATGCCATGGGACTGGTAACTCACTGGGACACTCACACACGGCTCCCCGACTGCGGCCCAAGTGTCACCTCCTAAACTGGGAGGTGGCTCTGAGAGGACTTCCTGGGCCCTTCTGACCAACCCCCCCACCTCAGGAGACCAAGCACAGAACTCTCTGGAGCCCCACTGTCTGCATCTGCCATTTGTCCCCCTCTGTCATTCCCACCTGGTCCCAGGGCAACTGCGACAGAGGGAGAGTGGAGCCAATCAGGGGCACTCACGGAACATGGTTTCCAGCCGCACCAGGCAGCACACAAAGTTGTCGAAGTCGACGGCCAGGTCAGGCTCAGAGTAGCGGGTGATGATGAGCTCGTACAGCTTCTTATTGAGCTTGAAGCCTGGGTGAGTGAGGGGAGGGGAGGATAGGCCAAGCAGGGCAAGAGCAGCGAGGGGCTGGGCAAGTGAGAGCCAGTCTCAGAGGGAGCGCCAGCCCAAGCCCGGCCAGGGCTAAGAAGGGCACCAAGGGCCTAGGGCCTGACTGGGTCTATTCCCCACGCCCTGGCCTTGTCCCAAAAGGGGCCAGCACAGTGGAGGCCTGCACCTCTCTCACTAGCAGCAGGAAGCCCAGCCTTGTCCCCCCTTGACTATGCGGCCTAAGGTGAGTTGCTTTCCCTCTCAGAGCCTCACTGTTCTGTGTGCACGGGGAGATGATGAAGGACCCCATCCTATCAGGTCACAGTGAGGAGGGAATGGGAGATGCTGACACAGCCCTTACTTAGGAAAGGCCAGCCAGGGCCCTTACATCACCCCACACAAGGGACAAGGGCTGTGGGCAGCCGCAGCCACAGGCCACGTGAGGCAGCCTAGGGCCAGGAACAACGGTGCCACCTGCCTGGGCCGGACAGGTGTCCTCAGCCCTTGGGTCTCACCTGCAGACTCAATAGCCATCCGCATCTCATAGGCACTCATGCTGCCCGACTTGTCCAGGTCAAACTTCCGGAAGATGGCCTGGGGCAGGGGCAGACGCTGAAGCCAGGCTGAGTTATGCCTGGCTCTCCTGCCCCAGCCCAGGCCAGCCCCAGAGCTGCTGAGGGTGGATCGCCTGGCCCACACAGCCCACCCGCCCGGGGCCTGCAGCCTGGCCCAACCCTGCCATGACCAAGGCCACACAGCCCAGCCAGGGATCACCTACCAGGTAATGCCGGATGCGGTTCCACAGGATGTTGAACTCCACCAGGCCCAGCTTCCCATTGCCATCACGCTGAGCAGCAGTTAAGAAGGAAATTCAGCACCTTAGAGCAGGCCTGTGGGAGGGGACAGCTGGGGAAGAGGGAAACCGGACACCTGGCAGGTCGGGGAGCAGCAAGTGCCACGGGGAGCCACCCCACCGGGTTAGCTGCGTTTTCTGGAGTGGGTGTGTTGGGGAGGGTAGAGAAATAGCCCAAAACTTCAGGGTCAGTCGGGGACCCAGGTCTTGCCGCAAAGCCTGTGCCTTAGCTTTCCCCTCTCAATCATCTGAAGGTGCCCAAGGAGTTGTTGGCCCACGGGGCACATGTGCATCTTCGTGCCCCCAGCCTGGTCCTTTTCTTGGGATCGTTCCGGGGATGGTTTACTTAGCAGTGCCTTTCAGACCCTTAGCCCCTGACACCTGGCATCAGGAGACAAAACAGATGGAAGGATACATCCATGAGGTTCACCATGCTGCGGCACGACTCCAGGCTGAAGCCCTTGGTCCGCAGATCTTTGTCTACAAAACATCATTTCCAGCAACTTGACCCGCTGAGCCTCCTTTACCTGCCTCATGCTGGGAGCCTGGGCAGCAAGTCACTGTCCTGACCGTGGGCACAGAGTCTCAAAGAGTGGGGGGTGGGCACGGACAACGATGGGCACCTCACGGTCAGAAAACAGTGTGAAGTATTTTAGTGGTTAAGCTGGTGTCCCAGCAGCTGGTACCCAGAATAAAACGAAGCCACTGCTGGAGAGAAGCTCAGGATATTGGACAGAAAATCGGACAGTCAGAGCTTCCCTGTGGGCTCCAAAGGAAAGCACAGCTTCCGCAAAAGACAGGAGGCCATGAATACAACAGAGGCGGAAGGCAGCAAAGCACATCCAATGTGGGGCAGGGTGGTCCCCACATGCACCCAGGGCCCGGGGCAACCCTGCTTCCCAAGCCACTTGGCCTGGTCTGGGGGAGCATCTTTGGGAGAAGGGGAGCCTTCCCCAGCCTTCCCCTTGGTACTAAGGTGCTGGTGGACAGCTCCCCTGTGAACCTGCAAGACCATCCTGACCCCACAAGGACCCAGAGCTCAGGCAGGGAATGGGGTGAAGCAGGAGCAGGAGTCGGGGGTGGCAATGGTGCTGAGCTGGGCTCTGAAAGGTAGCAGAGGGCACCCCTAGCCCCATAGACTAAGGGGAGGCGCTCAGCTCCAAAAGCCTGGATTGTGACACCATGCAGGAATGGGGCAGGACAGGGCGTGGAGAGCAGCCACTTGGGACCCTCACGTTTGCTAATGATCCTGTTCAGGATGGTCTGTAGCTCCCTGACGCTGACCTCCAGGTCCTGGGGGAAGAGCAGGGATGACACTGGCGCTGGGAAGGGAATACACACCCCACCCCGCCCCCACCCTCCTCCTGCCTCAGCCTACCGCCCCTGCCAGCTGCCTGA